CCACCAGACCAACTACACAAATGGGTAGATGGACTATTACGTACAAATAATAACCTGAAGTTTTTAACCTCATTTAGTCTTTAAACAAAATATCATCTAACATTATTATTGTCATCATGTTTGCCACATACACTGTGGGTTCAGCTTTGTTACGTTCTTCAGTATCTGGTACGGACGCACATGGCACCTTTTTCCGTCAGTTCACACTTAAAGTACTACTATAAACTACAGAAAAGTCAGAGTAAGAAGGTGCTGTGGTGGAAGGATGGGTCAGAAATTGGACTTACACCCGGGAGACTGGCGTTTGTTTTCTGTGTGAAACAAAAGTCAACATTGATTCTTGTTGTGATGTTATGTACATTAAGCAGCAATATTTCAGTTACGTAATTTAATCCATGCAAGTAAGGCAGTAATTTTTTACTTAGATCATGATCTTTTTCTTAACCTAACCAGGTAGTTTTGGTGCCTAACCTAATTAAACTGCGACGTTTCACAATGTTACATTTATTTTTGCTGACTTGATCCTACACATACAAAAAATAAGCTTAAGGATTTCCAGGGCATTCAAAAGGGAAGTTCTGACAAAAAATAAGAACCCTACTACTATCTTATGGTTCATTTAAGGTATTACAGGTTGTTTATTTGGATAGTGAGAAGGTCCAGAAGGAAAGAATGGAGGGGTTGAGGAGGCATGAAGGGAAGAAGGGGTCGAAGGGGAGGGATAGGAGTCGGGAAGGTAGGGATGAAGAGGGGTGGCAGGAGCGGCTAGGAACCCGGGGCTCGAGACTCAGGATGGGGGCATGTCTCTATAAGTGTCTTGCTTTGTGATCCCCAAAAAGTGTTGCTGGACTTAGCAAAAAAACAAGCAATGCATGGATGTGGGGATGAAAGATGGAAGAGGCAGGAGCTCAGAAAGGAGTCTGATGTTGGGGATTATCCACTGAGGTGTGCCTGGACGGCGATGTTCTGATTTTAGATTTGAGGGAGGCTTGAAAGGAAGTGCATAAAATATCTTGGGACTGCTCTTGCGCCCGAATTTGGTGCTGACGGTTATGTATTAGGAACCCATTCCATGAAAAGTTGAAAAGAAAAACTCCATAACCAACGTGCCAGTAATGTCGGACGGTCTCTTCAGGGCTTGTTTGAGATCAGTGTTTTGAGGTATCCGTGTGGTCAGAACCGTGCTGGGTGGGGTTATGGAGACAGCTGGTTCTGGCATGGGTGCCGCCAAGAAAGAAAGAGGTGTGGAGGAACGACAACTTGAAACGTTGCAACCTGAATTATTGTAGTTATTACAAACCCTTCTGCTGCCTTGGTACAGTACGGGCCTTCCCTTGTCGGCTTCCTGAGAATCGGACTGTGGGCTGATTGTGCAGAGTTTTCTGGTAGTAGAGTAGGTGGTCTGGGGATGAAGCAAGGTGGAGGCGCAGTGGAACTGAGCCTTGGACAGTGGGCGGGTAGTTGGGGCGTAAGGATGGGGTAAGATAAAGATGTGGCAATGACGCGA